AAATCTCAGCTACCTCCAAGGGGTGCTCAGCTCAAAGGCATCTGCTTGCAGTGCTGGGGATGCTTAAAAAAAAGAGAGAGGTGAAAGACAAGGGAGGAAGAAAAGAGGAGAGAGAAGGGGGGAAGAAAAGAGGAGAGAGAAGATAAGAGGTAAAAAAAGACAAAAAAGGAAGGAAAATGGGAAAAAGAAAAAAAAATGTGAAAAAGAGAGAGAAAAGAAAGGAATAAGAAAATAAAAGAGAGAAGGAAAGGAAAAAGGGAAAACCACCTCCATCCTCCTGCCTTGATAGTGATGGAGCAGGGATGGGGGAGGATCAGTGCTCAGCAGCACTGGGGCTTTGCTCCACCATGCAGGATAGACTGTGACCCGTTTGATGTATTTGAAGCTTGAAATAGTTCCTTATGAGTAATGTGGTTCAGGTGCTTATCACTAATTAATTAATTCTTTCATAGCGTGGATACCTAATTAAAGCAGTCTAAGGTAATTCCGGAGGGGTCTGAAGCTGAAGGGATGGTTAATGGGGTTGTTTCTGTGCTGATGCAACCCTTGGGGCAATTCCCAGTGGCTGGAAGGGTTTATTAGGTTCTTTGTGGTTGTTACTTAAAATAAAATTCCAATAAAGGTTTGATTTGGGTGAAGTCATCGGAGACAGCAGCAAGGCTCCCACGGCACAGCTGGGGTTCTCTGGGCAAAAAGGAGATGGAAAAAGGCACGAGTTTGTGTCATGGCACCCCAGGTCCTCATTCCAAGCCTCGTTTTGCACCTCCTGTTAACACCTGTGTCTTGATGCTGGGAAATACTTGAAAGCCACAAGGGGTTGGAAGCTGGGATTTCTGAGCAAGTTGAATTTATTTTAAGGTCAGCTTGAATTCTTTTGGTGATGGCGTCAGGAAGTGAAAGAACCAAGAACTCGATGATGTGATGCCTACTCTAATGAATGAGTGATGTGAGTTTTCTAGTGGTCTCCCCATAGTAGAAATGAACCTTTGAAATAAGGGGTTCCGATGTCTCCTGTTCCTAAAGAAGACCAGACAGGCCAGGAACCCATGGGTCAGGCAGTGGCCAGGCTGTGGGATGCACTGGATAATGCTGGAGTAAAACAGAACCTTCTGCCAGGGGAAAGAGGCTCATAGACTGGTCTGGGTTGGAAGGGACCCTTAAAGACCATCTGGTCCCATTCCTCTGCAGTGTGCAGGGACACCCACAGCTGCATCAGTGCTCAGAGCCCCATCCAGCCTGACCATCTCTCAGGGCAACCCGTGTCAGTGCCTCACTGCCCTTATTGCAAGCAACTTTTTCCTTATGTCCAGTCTAAATCTCCCCTAAAATAAAATCATAAAATCAAAGAATGGCCCAGGTTGGAAAGGAGCTCAAGGGTCACGAAGCTCCAACCCCCCTGTGCCACACAGGGCCACCAACCTCCACATTTCACAGCAGCCCAGGCTGCCCAGGGCCCCATCCAACCTGGCCTTCAACACCTCCAGGGATGGACGGGGCATCACAGCCTCTCTGGGCAGCTGTTCCAGCACCTCACCACTCTCACAGCACACAACTTCCCCCTGACATCCAACCTCCATCTGCCCTCCCTCAACTCCAAACCATTTCCCCTTGTCCTGCTGTCATCTCCCCTTTCCAAGAGCTGACTCCCCTCCTGTCTGCAGGCTCCCTTTAGGCACTGCAGGCTGCACTGAGGTCACCCCGCAGCCTTCTTTTCTCCATGCTGAACAAGCCCAGCTCCCTCAGCCTGTCTTTGTAGTGGAGGTGCTGCAGCCCCCTGCTCATCTTTGTGGCTCCTCTGGACCCTCTCCAACAGCCCCCTGCCTTTCCTGTACTGGGGGCTCCAGACCTGCACACAGCACTGCAGATGGGGCCTCACAAGAGCAGAGCAGAGGGGGACAATCACCTCCTGTCCCTGCTGCCACCCCTCTGCTGATGGAAAAATAAGAGGCTGCTCAGCTGAGATGGGTGGGTGATCAAAGCTCAGGCTCAACCATCACTCCCCCAAGTCTGTGAGGGACCCAGGGGGGAGAAATCCAGTAGTGTGACCCTGTGAAGATGTCCGCTGATGGGACACACGTGTCACCTTGGGGCAAGGCCAGGAGAAGCTGTTGCTTTGCAGCTGGGGCACTGCTGTTTTTTCCGTGCAGCGTTGAATGTTTTTAGGGAGTTTCCGAAGCTGCGTGTTCTTTTCTCAGGCCAGCTGCATAACAATAAAACACAAGCATAAAAATAAAATGCCAGCAGCAGAGAGCGTTCCTTACCTCTTTTGGACTCTCTTTACCCCTATATATGAAGGATAGAGGCCAATGGCTGCTTGCAGAGGTGGGAACTGGATGGCCTTCAGGGTTCCTTCCAACCCAAGCCATTCTCTGGTTCTACAGTTCCATGATTTACGCTGTGCTGGTTTTTTTCCCCCCCAAACACAGTGCATTTCCTTTTCCTGGCAGCTCCTGGGGCTCTCTCCTGCTCTGGGAAACGTCCCTTCACCCTCATCATTTCTTAAGAAAACAATACAAAAAAAAAACCTTAAAAGAGAATAAAAGGAAGTTGAGGTTGCTTTCAGTTTGCCTTCTCTTTTCAACCGTTAGGGCACATGAGAGAAAACAACCTGAGATTCTCACTTCTGTGTGCCATCCAAAGGTGAAAGGGAAGGCTCTTGAGCAGGGCTCCCAAAATGCTTGGGGATGGTCTGCCCTATGTCTGGTTCACGTTTGCATTCAACCCTGTGCTCTGCTTTGGAGGAGCCTTTCCTGAGCTGCCAGGGATGGGATGCATTGCTGTCCTGCACCACTACTTCCATGTATACTCTATGTAGGAGGTTGTGGTTTTGTGGTCATGAATGGATGGATCAGAGCATTGCTCCCCACACAGACACATCCAACAGTGGGCTCTTCATCCCGTGCACTGATTTCAGAGGAGGAAACTCATTGGGAACCTCCCTCCATGTACCAATTTTGGAGGACAAAACTCATTGGGAACCTCCCTGCTGTGCCTCACCCCATGGGATGTGCATCACTTGATGCTGGCTCTGCTTTTGGGGTGAAATGCAGTAGCATGGGGCCACGCAGGGCTAAGGTCATAAAATTAGACTCATTTGAATTGGAATGGACATTTAAAGGTCATCTGGTCCAATTCCCATTCAGTGGACAGGGGGCAGTGGGTTCTCTGCCCCCTCCATTCCAGTGATGGGAGCTCAGTTGGCACCAAACCCTGGGTATGGACACACTGATGGCATCAGGGCTGGCCCCTCACTTGTCACAACTCGTGCCTGTCTGCTACCGGCGTGATAACGAAGCTGTTGCCATGGAAACAGGTTCATTTTCACCCTTTAATTTCTTTCTTACTTTGCTGTTGTGCCTCTGACCCATGACCTGCTGTTTGGTGATTTCCATGCCACGCTGGGCACTGGGCAATAAAACATAGGTTGGGAAAGGGAATGCAGTTTTCTGCTCTTTTCTTTCTGCCTGTAGTGTTTTTACAGCTTTCTATGTATATTTAGTCATTATTTTTTCAATGGAGCAGCCTGTTTTTAGAGTCGACCTTTAGCACAACTAAGAACTATGGAGATGATTCTATTAGGCTGAATAGAACCCCCTTTAAAGGGATGCCAAAGTGCCTGTGACAGGTCTCTGGGCTCAGACATTTCACTGCTGGGTTTTGCTCACTGATGCTATGGTTGGGTCACCTTCCCTGGAGGAGCTCAAGAAACTTGTAGATGTAGTACTAGAATCATAGAATCACAGAATCACCACGGATGGAAAAGACCTAAAAGATCATCCAGTCCAACCGTTCACCAATTCCCAATAGCTCCCACTCAAGGTGAATGGTTTAGTGGGCAACATTGGTGGTAGGTGGGCGGTTGGACCAGATGATCTGAGAGGTCTTTTCCAACCTGAATGATTCTGTGATTGTACGATTCTGTTCCAAAAAAGCACTGAGTTTCCCAAGGGGCTCTGCTTAATGGAGGATAACTGATGTATTCGAATGTTTTCTCCTTTCCCCAGTCAGAAGAGATCCCAAAAATTGGGATCTTCTCCTGTCACTTGGGCTTAATCTCAAGTTGATATGGGAGGGGAAAGGAATTCTCAGTGCTTAAAAAGCAGCACTTTAGTGGCGAGTATTGAGTTTGAATACCTTAAATTGGTGACTTTCACTGCAGAATGGGCTGAGAGCACATTTTGCATTGGGTTGGGTCTCAAAGGCAGCATCATCCTTGCTTGGGACACCAGCAGCTTTGCAAAACATAGAATCACAGCATCATTCAGGTTGGAAAAGACCTCTAAGATCCCCAAGCCCAACCCCAGCCCATCCCACCGTGCCCACATCCCTCAGTGCCACATCTCCACAGCTCTGGAACACCTCTGGGACGGTGACCCCACCACTGCTGGGCTGCTGTCAGCTCTTATGGAGAAGAAATTCTGCAGTGCTGTGCAGTGAATAGCCCACAGCCCCTCTGCACAGTGCCCAAGCATCAAATCAGCCCCAGAGCCTGAGCTGTAATCACAGCCCAGAGCCTGAAAGAGACAATATCCAGGTCCTGTACACCATAAACATCATTAGCATGGAAATCAAACACCATCCTTACTCATTAACCTGCAGTCTGCAAGACAGGAATCCTATTATCCAGACTCACTGCACTGCAGACGTGCGGTGGCTTCTCTGTCCCCGTGCGGTGCCATGGAGCCCGTAGCTCTGTGCCACTGCTTGCAAGAGGTACAGAGCCCTTAGGGCAAAGAGGGCTTAGGGAATTCCTGCTGATTCCGCTGGAAAACAGCCAGGGCACCGCTTGCCAGCAGCCCTCAGATATTTGCCTGCTGACCTGAAACCTCTTCCTGTGCTCAAAGTCTCACCGCACGCTGAGAGTCACTGCGGTCTGTCCCCAGCGAGCTGCTGGGAGGCGGAAGGAAGCCCTGAGCCCTGGGGCCGGAAAGAAAGGTATCACTGCAGCCATCTGAGCAGGTTGGTTTTTAATTCCTCTCCATTTCCCTCTTTCTGTAAAGGTGTCGAACGCCGAAGTGGAGCAGCTGTTGCCCTAAGGACAGCCAGCACCAGTGAGACCCAGCTTTGGTAAAGCAATGCTGCCCACGTCGAGCACTGGGTGCTGGGAGGGAGGGTGGTGCTGGACGCCTGGCTGGGGCTTCCAGAGAGTAGAGGATGTAGTGTTTATGTGGTATATACATTACATGGCATGTAGTTTATATAAGGTATATGGGGTATATAGGGCATATGAGTTACATGGGGTATAGACTGTGAAGCTGGCATGGCCACCCTGAGCATCCCTTGTCCATCTGGGGTGGAAATCTTGAGCAGTAGGAAACTCCTGCATCCTGTTTGGCATCTGACAGCCGGAGCTGGCAGCAGGGGTGGAGCAAAGCTGATCTACACATCCATCCCACAACACCTATGGCCGCCCCAAATGCCCCTGCTACCCCAAAAGCCACTGGTCCAGAGGGCAGGTGGCTGGGGGAGGCAGATGCAGCCCTGTTTCCTTCTGGTCTGTTGCACTGCAGCCTTTCTTGTAATGCCCCAGCATCCCCTAAGCCTGGCTAATGGGGGCATGCATCCAGCAGCGATGCCCTCGGAGGATAGTGGCTTTCTGCCCTTGCCCAAACGCAAAGCTGGTCTGCATCTCCTCCCCTCACACCCATATTCATACGGCCCTGCTCTAACACCTCCACGCCCCAAATACAGCCCCACCAAACTGCTTTTGGGATTTCAGGGATTCCAGGCTCTGTGTTGAGCCCCCATCCCCATTCCTGCCTGCTGCCCGACCGGGGTGTGCCCGGCGTGCCGATGGCCAGCAACAACACCGCGAGCATAGCGCAGGCACGCAAGCTGGTGGAGCAGCTGAAGATGGAGGCCAACATCGACAGGATAAAGGTGATGCAGCCGGGGACTCGTTGGGCACGTAGAGGGATGCTGTGAGGGTAGGTGCTGGTCAGAATGATATTGCAGGAGCCATCGGATGTGGTGGCAGAATGTGGTGGGTATGGAGGACGTCTGTCCTGGTGGCACCATGGCCATCCCATGGTCGTCTCGTTAGCCATGGGAGGTGATTTCCTGGAGAAGTTCCCATGGGGTGGGATGTTCCATCCCCACGGTGGGGTGTTGTGTCCCTATGGTGGAATGGCTGAGGGACATGGCTTAGCGGGAGTGGTGGTGAGGGGTCAGGTTGGACTAGATGATCTTAGCAGTCTTCTCCAACCTCAGTGATTCTCTGCTGCTAATCTGTGACTCAAGGCGGGATGTCCCATCCCCAAGGCAGGGTGCCTCATCCCCCAAGGCAGGATGTCCCCCATGCCACCTGTCCCCAACACATGGCTCCTTCTCTGCAGGTGTCCAAGGCAGCGGCAGATCTGATGGCATACTGCGAAGCTCACGCCAAGGAGGACCCCCTATTGACCCCCGTCCCGGCTTCAGAAAACCCCTTTAGAGAGAAGAAGTTCTTCTGTGTGATCCTGTAAAGCCTCAAGGAGCCTGACGGGCACTCAGGCCACCCTGAACACTGATGTAGAGTTTTTAGGAACGGGGACGACCTGCTAGTCCACAGAATTTAAACAAAAATAAGTAAAATACAAGGCCTGGAAGCTACAGAGATGTGCATGTTTAAAGAATCTGGCCGCCTTTGGGGGATATAAGATGATCCGCATTGCGAGGCAAAAGATCTGAAGTCTGTAGAGTTGCCTAGAAAGAAAAAAAAAAAAAAAAAAAAGGAAAAAAAAAAAGAAAAAAACAAAAAGAATATTCATGTAAAGAATAAATTCGTGTCACTTTTCAGCTCACAAAATCGTTTGATTGTTCCGTATTTAAAGCACCAGAGCGGTGCTGAGCAAAAGTAACCGCTAAGGATGTGCATAACCTTCTTGGAATGATGTTGTTGGTTCCTTTCCAAGTACAGTTTTTTATTTAAGCTGCCGGATCTATAGCTAGATGGCTGTGATGTTACTCAGTGTTCGGTCTCGTGCTTTCCCATTCCCCGCTTCCCGTCTTGTGCCTGGTGGCTTCGCCCCGCGGTGAATGGTGTTGTGCTCGCTGCTTCGCGCTCTGTGACGGCTTTTGGTTGTAGTGCATGGATGGGGTTTGGTCTCTGCTCGCCCGCTGTGGGTTTTCTGTTCTGTCTGACAGCACAGGCCGGCGGGAGATGCTGCGGGATGTGATGTTGGAGGTGATGCCAGTGGCAAAGCCGACCCCTGCAGCACCTCCCGACACGGCTGCAGACCCCAAAAACAGTGCTGGCCTCTTTTTCCTAGGTCCGTTCCTTTGTCCCACACATTTGTGCCTCTTCCCTGCTCCCTGCCCGGCTCTTCCTGCCCGTCCTCATGCCCACTCCCCCCCAGTGACGGGAGAGTGCCAGCATGATGATGCCCAGAGCACCCCGCTCCTGCAGTGCCTGATGCTGTGTTTACACACAGCCCTGTGCCAGGGTGATGGCTCATTCCCACGTCCAACATCACCCAAAATCAGAGTTTTGCGGGAAACATGCCCCCTTTTGGGGCCGTCAGATGCTCGTGAGGACATGGCTTGCCAGGAGCCCCCAGGACACTCCAATGCTCCACACCCAGCAGTAGCACCGGGATCCCATAAGGTACTCTGGGCTCTGCGTTAACCCCATAAAATCATAGACTCATTAAGGTTGGAAAAGACCTCTAAGATCATGAAGCCCAACCGCCAACCCGCCACCACCATGCCCACTAAGCCACGTCCCCATCAGCCCCAAACCACAGCTACCCAAGAGGGCAATAGTCTTTAGGTACCTTTCTGAGAATCTTTCTAGCCCGTTTCAAGTGCATTTTGGGTTTTCTACCTTTTCATACTCTTTTTCTAGCTCTGGTTGGCAGTGGGATGGCGCGCCCGGGGCCGGCCCCGCTCGTGGTGTTCCCGGGCCGTGTAAATACCCCCAACCCTTTGTCTTGGTCGTTGTGATGCCAAATTTCCGCTGAGCGCTGCCATGGTTTGTAAGAAGTTTTTTAATGACTCATATCTTTTACAACAGGAATTCTTAATACATCAACAAAGAGTAATGCGGCCGTGTTCGCACTGCTCGTTTCCCCATGCAAAAGCCCTCAGCTGCCTCCATCCCAGGCATGGAAGGGAAAATCCATGGAGCATCGGTGTGGGATTTGCCCTTCGCCCATTGGTGTGGGCTGTGGGGGAAGGCAGTGCGGGGAGGTCGGCGTCGCGGTGTTGCGCATCCCCGTCCCGCGTGGTCTGTGTAATCGTTGGAAATAAAGTTGGGATTTGTTTCAAGGCTGTGGTAGTGATGGTGTGTGGGTGCTGGGAGCAACGGGAGGCTGCAGGGAGGGTGACCTGGCCTGTTGGTTGTAGAGGGATTGGGAGAGAGAGAGAGCAGGGTCTGGGCTCTGCACGGTAGGGCAATGCAAGGCAGGGCAAAGCAAAGGAAGGCAAGGCAAGGCAAAGGAAGGCAAAGCAAAGGAAGGCAAGGCAAGGCAAAGGAAGGCAAGGCAAAGGAAGGCAAGGCAAGGCAAAGCAGAGCAAAGCAGTGCTCTCTCACACCTACTTCTTTTCCCCAGTGCTGGCCATGCCGCAATGGTCATCTATCAAATTGTCAAGTTTTTTGAACACGAGGGATTTTTCCCAGCCATACTTAAAGGCTGAATACCCTCTGCTGGTCTTCAGCTCACACAAGGCAGTAGGAACGCATGCTCACAGGTTGCTCAGCCTGTGGTTCCCCATCCCTGGAGGTGCCCGAGGCCACGCGCGGCTCCCGGGAAGATGAGCAGAGGGGGCACCCAGCCCACGGCAGAGGTGGTGCTGGGGGCTGCGAGGTCCCTCCCACCCGTCCCTGCGGCCCGCCCGGATCCCCGCCCCGGGACTGCCCACCCGCCGCCGTGTCGTTAAAGCTGGATGGACGTCAACTTCCGTTCCGGCTGCTTTCTCCGCTCTTCAATTGGTCGCGTCGCTTTTCTCTCAGCGCTCAGGAACCAATAGGAGGCGAGATAACCGGTACAGAGGCGGTACTTCCTGTGCGGCCCGGCTGCTCGGCCTGAGCGCGGCGAGCGGCGGGGCCCGGCCGAGTTGGTAGCGCCATGTTCCGCCGCAAGCTCTCGGCGCTCGATTACCACAACCCGGGCGGCTTCAACTGCAGGGGTGAGGGCCGCGGGGACGGGTTTCGGGCTTCCCCACGGCGGGGAGAGCGCAGGATGTGGAGAGAGGCCTAGGTTTAAGGCAGGAAGCCTGGGTTCTGTGTGAGGCCTGCTTGGGGCTGGGAGCAGAGCGCGGCCTGCAGGGAGCCCGGGGCAGCGCTGCGCTGTGCTTTGCTCCTTCTCTGTGTGTGCGGGGGTCGTGGGTGGGAGCAGGGTTGCTTGTTCCGTATGTTGATAGGACAGGGGTTCCCATGAAACGGTTAGGTGGCAGATCTAATCTGTGTCGGTGCTGCGTTGTGCCGTCTTGCAGCGCTTTGGTGGTTTGAAATGTCACATTGAGGTAGTCATAAGCTTCAGGCCGCGTGGAGTGGGGCCTGAATAATATCATAGTATCATAATATCATGAAGCCTGGTAAACCCAAGTGGACAGGTGTTGTACTTGGGCCGTTGCACCTCCTGCTGTCAATAAAGGTGGGGGCCGTAAGGATGGAGCACAGCTCTGCCAAAAACGACCTGGAGATTCCTAGCTGGGTGTGAGCCAGCACCATGCATGCCCTCACAGCATGGAAGGCCAGCTGTATCCTGGGCTGCATCCAACACAGTGTGGGCAGCAGGGTGAGCGAGGTGATCCTGCCCTTCTGCTCTGTGCTGTGAGTCCTCACTTGGAGTGCTGCATGCAGATGGGGAGTCCTCAGTGCAGGAGAGATGTGGGCCTGTTGGAGCGTGTCCACAGGAGGGCTGCAAAAGTAATCCCAGAGGTAGAACACCTGCCTGTGAGCACAGGCTGTGCAGCATGGAGAAGAGAAGGCTCCAGGGAGACCTGAGAGCGGCCTGTCAGTATTTAAAGGGGCTGTAAGAAAGAGGGGTACGGATGCTTTAGCAGGCTCTGCAGTGACAGGACAAAGGGAAAGCGTTTCAAACTAAAAGAGGGGGGATCTAAACTGGACATAAAGAAGTTCTTCTACAATAACAGTAGTGAGGTGCTGACCCAGGTTGCCACAATAGGTGGTGGTGCCCCATCCCTGCAGACACCCGAGGTTGGGCTGGATGTAGCTCTGAGCACCTGGTGGGGCTGTGGATGTCCCTGTTTGTTGCAGGGAGTGGGATCAGATGGCTTTTAAGGGTCCCTTCCAACTCAATCCATTCTGTGCTCTTTGAAAGGGATTGTCTTGCCCTTTGTGCTTCTGGTTGGCTCGTTTCTCTTTGAAAAAATTGGTGTCTACTGTCAGCTTTGTGTGTTGTGCTTTTTGAGCTCTTACTGCTAACATTTCGTTCTCCTCAAAGGCTTGCTTTGTTGGTGTAGAAGTTGTTGAAGTTGTTACTGAAAGTTTTCCTCCATGTGTGTTGTGACTGTGGCTGTTTCTTACAGCATGCTCACTGGAAGTAGGGCGTTCATGTTGCTTCGAGGAGACGCTCCTGGCAGGCAGAAATAGCATAGCAGGTTTGTCCCTGATGGGAAAGCATTTTGCTTACCCCAGCCTGAGCTACAGGGGGATATTTACCTCATTAATCCAGGTCTCTGAAACTCATCCAGTGCCAAAATTTCACGGATGATTATCAAAATGCTGGTGGTGCCCAAGTGCTGCAAGTCACAGATGCAGAGTAATTGCTTTGTCCGTTACCTTTGGACCACAGCCTTTGTGTTGTGGAGTTCCAACTCCAAATGATGAAATGTTGGCTCAACAACCAAGAGAAGTTGACTCAACAGAGAAGAAGGAAGAAAATGCCCCTACAGAGTCACGGGATGAGGGTGCATTGTTCTTAGGGACAGACTGGGGTTTGTTGCAGCATGTGATGTGTTTGTCCACGCAGCAGAGTTGGCGCTGAAACCCTCAGTGTCATTGTTTTGCTTTCCCTTCTTTGCTTAGTAACATTTATAATTGTATTCCTAATGAAAACAGTCTCTTAACTGATGCCTTTTAGTGTTGTCCATCGACTGTGGCCAATTCCAAGTCACTTGAGAAATGAGGAAAGCTCAGAGTGTTGAGTTTTGGTCAGAAGTTACACTGGGCTGTGTGATTTTTAGGTAGTGGTGTGTATCTCTTTTTTTGTGGTAAGAAAGGGACACAGAATTTGTAGGAATTGGCTCCAAACTTGAGGGCTTGGTTTTGCCCTTAAGGTCTTGGTTAATTCTTGCTGTGTTTACTTCTCCCTGCAGATGAAACAGAATTCAGAAATTTTATTGTCTGGCTGGAGGACCAGAAAATCAGACACTACAAGATTGAAGACCGAGGGAATTTAAGAAACATACACAGCGATGACTGGCCCAAATCGTTTGAGAAGGTATTTTATTCCAAACACAAATGTGTCTCACCTGAATGACAGCCCAGGGTTTCTGTAGCTGTTGAGTGTAAATGAGTGGCCCCTTGTCCTGTCTCTGAATGTTTTCTGCTTCTAGGAATTGAAATATATAATTGAGGCCACGCTGCAGTTGAAGATGGTGAAACGTTTTGTTTGTAAATTTCACTCAAGCCTGTTTTTGCAGTAGCATCTATCCTAATATTTCTTGCCTAAATTGATTTAGCTTTTGACGTAGGAAATTGGCTACAAATAAACAGCTTCTTTTTCTGTTCTATGGCTTTTATGTAGCAAAGTAAAAATGGATTAGCCTAATATGGGCTTTACAAGCACGTGAAATGAAGCTACTGAAGCTCCTCTCTGAACCTACTGTCCTGTCAGTAAATGATTTTCCACTGCTAACATGAAGTGTGGCAAGCAGCCATAGCTCTGGTTGTGATCTCCTGTGTGCTTGTGAGCATTTGGACTCACTTTGGGCTGCTGGTTCTGTGCTGGATTCCATTGCCTTTCTCTCACAACAGCACTGAGGAGCTGAAAACTGCTCCTTATGCTCAGTGCCCATTTGTCTCACTCGTGTTCCCAGGAACCATTTGTCTTCTTCCCTGCCCACAAGGTTTGGACTGGTAGTGCACACGCTTTGTAAGTGGAAGCCTAAAGCCTAAAGTTCCAAAATTGATGGCAGGAGGGAAGCATTCCGAGCTTTAAAGAGGAATGATGTTGGAATTGCTGGCTGCTGGTACTGCTGTGGTGTCAGCAGTGCTTGTGGCATCGTGCTGTTGTATGCAGCCCCTTGGAAATAGAATTGCTCCTGCTGCCCTGCAGAGTGCTCTGGTTTTCGTGCAGATGGTGCTGCTGAACCTTGATAGCAGTATTGTGAAGGTTTTAGGTAATGTCCTTCCTGCTTGAGATAGGAAGTTTTTGCTGTACTTTGTTCTGTGTTCTTCTCCCTTGCCTCCTCTGGCTGTATAAAGAGAGCAGACAGCAGAGGAAGGAGTGTTTGGATTCTCTGGTTGTCAGTCTGACAGGGAATGTTACTCATTCAAAGCATTATTAAATGTTTAGTGTTAAAGACTAAGTGCCTCTTGCATTCCTCAGATGGATCAGATGCTGCAGCAGGGATGTTTTGTACTGATGCTTCTTAGTAATGATCTTCCCAACTGTGCTGGCTGTGGGAAAGCGACTGCAAATCAGTTCTGTGCTTGTAGCTAACTTATACAAGTGTTTCCTTCCAGCCTATAAATAATGTCTATTTTTTTCTCCTCTTTCTCTTTCACAGTATATGAAGGATGTAAACTGTCCTTTCAAAATGCAGGAACGACAGGAGACTGTGGACTGGCTGCTTGGGTTAGCAGTTAGGCTGGAGTATGGAGATAATGGTATGACTGAGTTTATCTAATACTTAAAAGTGGAAGGGAAACCTGTTTGACTGTTTAAAGTTAAGAAAGATACATTCTTAAGAAAGAATGAAATTATGACAGTGTCAGAAGTATACATTGTTTTCCTATAAAAAAAAGTAAAGCTATTTGATCTGCTTGATACAGCACCATGTTCAGATGTGGGCTGTTTTTCTCAGCTCAGTTCCTGTGGGACAGTGCAGTGACATACTCACATTTGCTCTTTATTTCTGGATATAGCAGAACCCTCTGTATATATTGATACCTTTCTCCATCTGCTTTTGCCTTTGAGAACTTACCTCAAGGTCTATGAAGTGCTTTTTCTTTAATGCTACATATGTTGAAATAAGTTCTTCTGAAAGCCACGTTTCACTGGGAGCTGATCCTGAACCCTTGGGAGCTGGGACAAATGGATGAAAAAGTTGAATTTGACCT